CGACCTCCGGGCGCCCGAGCCCCGCAGCGTTTCGCGTGCGCGGCCTTGACCGGCGCCTCCGCACAACTCTGGGACTCGCGTCTTTGCGCCCGGGCAGAAATCCGGAGCGCGGCTCGGAGAGGGAGGCGAGACGCGGGCCGCTGCATTAGCGCGCTTCGTAGCCTGCGAAGGAAACGGCGCGGGGGGCGCAAGAGGAGCCCCAGCCGGTGCTCTCCTTTTGTTTCCCGCCGAGGGGTGGGGAAGTGTACAAGTTTTGTCGCCCTCCGCAAGTTCTGTGGGGGGCTTTTTTTGGAGGGGGAATGCGTGCGCGTATGTGGAATTCTCGCCTTTTTTGTTTTTAAATCCGTTTCAAGAGAGCCTCCTCTTGCTTTTTTTCGATGTGCGGTTTTGGACATGCGGAGGCTACTACAACCGTGTTGCTGGATCTTTTTCTTGAAAATCACCATCTCCGTGCTCCATTACGTGGTGTGTTTCCCCGGTGAGTGGAAGGCTAAGCGTGGGATGGAGGGGTGGAAGGAAGCGGGGCCAGGGCGGGCGGGCGAGGGCGCGAAGGAGCCCCGCGGATCTCGCCCCGAGTCTCGCCTCTCTCTCTCTCTCTCTCCCCTTCGGCAGATGAGACCTTTGCTTTGACGCGCCTGGGTCCTCGCCGTGGTTTGGGGTCGGGCTGCATACGTGGGTACAGGCAGTTTAGGACCCAAAGGCGGGGACGAGAGAATGCGTTGCAAGATTTTCCTCTTTTTGACCCGTCTGTCTCCCTCCGCCGCCCCGCAGCCAGCCACCCATCCTCTCCCCATCTTCCCGCGCCGGAGGGAAGCCGGCTTTTTGTTAGAGACTCCGGCTTAGGGATGAGGCGGCTTCGTTCCCGCGGAAGGACTTGCGGGCTCCGGTTTGAATTGGGAGAGCCAGCGCGAGGGAAAGACAGACCTTTGAGCCTGGCTCGCTGCCCATTCCCGTTGGATCTCCGCACAACTTCTACTCGTGAGATGCGCAGAGTCTTCCTCGCCTGGTAGCGCCCCTCTTTCTCTTCTGCCTTCGCCCTTCATTTGTAGCGATGGGGAGGAGGAGACCCTCAAGCAGTCTGCTTGCCGGACTTAATGCGGAGCAATGGGCTTCCCTGCCTCCCCGAGTGAATGTGTCTGATTGTGCCTTGTAGCTTCCACAGCTGTGTGTGTGTGTGAGATGTCTGCCAGGACTGCTACCACCCTACCTTCCTTGGGGTACTGCCTATTCCCTTCTATTCCCTTTCTCCTCGAAGTAGCCACATACAGTATGATATCTGTCTCTTCCCCCCCACCCCCTCCCCCAACCAACTACTGGTTGAGCTTGGTGAATGTCTAGGCTTGGCTGGACAGGCAGAGGAACTCCCTCCCTCATTTGGATGTTGGAGACTCAGCCTTTTTTCTGTCTGTTGCCATAACACGTATCTCCCTCTGAGGAATTCTTCTGCTCCTTTCCTTCTGCACAGACATACTTTGCCTGCTTTTAGTTTGGCCTTTGGCTCCTGCATTTGGTGCAGTGCTTGCTAGACAGACCCTGACCCAGGTAGAGTCTAAATGCCAGCTATGGATGTGTGCTCGGGGAAGAGAGAGACTGAAAAATCCCATTCTCAAAGATTGTGTGCAAACTAGCCATGTCACCCTGGGGGAAATAAGGTAGATGGTGTCTGTTCTGGAAATCGCTGGGTTCTTTTATTTCTTACCTTGACTTTTGCCTTCCCCCTGCAGTGGCTCTGTGCATCTTTATTCGAATAAACTTGGAAGGTGTCACATCATTGACCTTGGTATGGGTGTTAAGGGTGTTTATGGGAGGGGGGAGATATACAATTAGGGGAAGGTCAGATCCTGCTCCCAAGGGTGGAGAGAAGTAGGAATTCTGACATATTGTGTAGACGGCCTAAAATCTTGCTCCAGCCTTTCCTTTTTTGGCAATTCTAGATCTAGCCAGAGTCATTCTAGGATGCTGGGCATTTGCTTGACCCATTGGATTCCTGACATGTAGTATTAATTAGAGTGTGTGTGTGTGTGAGAGAGAGAAAGAGACATTGTGTTTGCTTGTTCCCTTGGTGGAAAGCAAGCATGATGGAAACATTGGAGGAAAAATTCTGTAGTGCAGAGTGGATTTATTCACCCTTCTCTTTTGCTGAGCTGAGCCGGAGCCCAGAAAAGTTAAAAATGTCAGGAAAGCTGATGCCTCTCTATGTGTATGGTTTTCTCACCCTACCTTCGTCATATGCAGTAACACAAATGGACCAGTAGGGGCACTGCTGAGCTGCTGTCTTTTCTGAACTGCATTCAACATATGTATATCCCAAAGTCCCCCAACATGTGTACACTGATCAGATAATGGTAGATTTAAGAACCGCTCTTAACCTATCTCTGTTTAAGAGAAGGCAGGGCTTCAGCTGCTCTTGCTATTTGTTCTAAATTTCAGTACAGTTCTGCACATCACAGCTGGACAGATGATGAATGCCTGGAGCTTGCCTACTTATTACTAACAGTATATAAAATGTCCACAAAGATGATTTTGTAGGAAGTATTCACTTCTGGTGTTAATCAACCTATCCTTTCCCTTTTTTCCCCTTTATGAAAGGGGAGAGATAATGACTAGCAACTTTGAATGAAAATATTTGTCACTTGTACAAGCAATTTATTTCTGCTTATGTCTTGCAAAAAAGCTTTTAAATTATATAGTATGTTTCTAAAAAATCTTTCAAGGATCCTTATGCTATGAGAACTGTAGGCAGCACAATCCTCTGCACATTCCTTTGTTCCAAGCCCCACAAAATTTAATGGGACTTCTGTTCCACACATACCATGTATTTTAGAATGGCACCCTTAAATAAAAATTCAGCTAAGTTCACCAAACTCAACGCTGCTTCATATTTGTAGCATCCACGCTTCTTTCCTCATTCCACTCTACCCAGTCCAATTTCTTAATAGGCCACTTAATATTTGATATGCAACTTCTTTTCTTTGTGATGGTTTGCTTTATTAGGCTTTACTTTTTATTTTTCATTACCACCTCTTTATAGCTATAATTAAAGGCAGGACATTTGGTGACACAGACCTTTTCGATGCCATTCTTTATATTCAATAAATGTGTACCATGAAATAAAAAATGAATAGGAAAAAGGCTTTAGAAGCTAAGGTTGCAATTCCTTGATGAGATGTTCTGGCCAGGGAGTAAACCATGTTGAATATATTGTCGAAGGCTTTCACGGCCGGCATACGATGGCTGGTGTGGGTCTTCCGGGCTGTGTGGCCGTGTTCTTGAAGTTTTGTTTCCTAACGTTTCGCCAGCACCTGTGACTGGCATTTTTATAAGGCAGGTGCCAAAGAAGGGGGAGTCTTCTTTTAGCCCACAGGGGTGAGGAAAAAAGAAGAAAA